GTAGATGCAGACAAGCTCAAACTATGGAAGGTAGAAATTCCTGACGATCGTGACGATCAGCTGAGCAATCTCTTACTCCAAGATCAAACCGAACTCCTTGCGACGAAAAAGATCTCAAAATACTTCCCTGACTCACCTGCCGAGGAACATATCCATGTCATAGTCGAACCATCCACATCAACCGCCACTTCGAACCGTGAACAGGAATTGCTAGACGAACTTACCTCATTGAAAGCATTACTTAACAAGTCTGTCCATGGTAGATGTTTCAAATAATATGTATAAATTTTTTCTTGGCAAAATTTTTTTACTAATCAAACTTTTGTTTCGTAGAATTTGACGTTATCGTGAGTCTAAAGCAGACAAAAGGATTCAAGTGGACGGTGAATATCGAGCAAGCAACTCTTGAAGCTCTCAAAGATTCCATACATGCTGTGTATCAAACACCGGCTCTTGAAAATGATGGAGCGGTATTCAATGTTGTATGCGACAGCGGAAAATACTCGCCTCGAAACGATCAAGCATTATGTGAAATGCTCCGGTTGCTGGTATCAAAGAATAACCTCAAGTTTACCATGTCCATAGAGACTCCCTCAAAAGCATTCTCGGATTGGACATTCCCAAAATTATGTCAGCTTTATGGACTTGGCGAATCGGACGATCCATCATTATCGGTTTTCCCACCTTTCACTTGCGGGTACAAAGATTTGAAAAATGATTCATCCCGGGCAATAGCTGAGCTGGATGCTCGTCTCAAGACCATTCCAAGCAGTGGAAATGATGCATCAAAATTGCAATATGTTTGTTCGTACCTTGTCGCCGGGATAAATCTGTACGAGGGTAAGTATGAGCTTCGACCAGAGAAAAACATAACAGGGCCCAATGGTCACGGCCAGTCGATTTCGCAATAGATTTGCTCAAAACCGCAAAAAGTGTTGGCGTGACTGAAGTAAAAGATGAAGATTTTATAAGGGCATTGCTCAGAATGCTGTTCAACTCGAGTCCGCTTTATCAAACCGTAAGCGTAAGGCCAGCGAGATAGAGGAAAGTGTGTTTGTGGGTAAGGTGTTCGGAATTATGACGGATGCAAAAGAATGGTATCTTTTGGAATGTTCGTTCGATAATCTAGAAAGGCCCAATTCAAACTATAAAAACCAGTAGTCGTAGTGTATAACAGTGATGATACGGAGGGTCTGGTTGAAAGGGTTCTAGGACATATTGCTTGGTTATTAGAGGAGGCACATAAACCGGTGGAAGATTTACAGAGCGGTGGGCAACTGAGGGTAGTAAAAAAGCACAGGCCATCGAGTAATCTCGCAGAAGAGTCGGGTTAGATGATCATATATTAATAAAAATTTTTTCTTAATTTTTATTTTTTCTTGGCATTTTTTGACGAACATTGTTCGCTGAAATTTCTTGGCATTTTTATTTATTGTATTTAATCCAGCGATTCTTGTTACGTGAATTTAAATCTTTATGATAAAGAATTGAATATATTCGCACCCTATATAAAATGATGACAGATATGCAATCTACAATTATTTCGTTAAGAGAATTAAATACCAAGCTTACATTCGAAATTAGTGAGCTTAGAAAGAAGTACGCCAATCTTGAATCCGAGAATACAAAATTAAAACAAGACAAAGAAGAGGTTGAAGCCAGATTCTTGAATTTAGAGCAGAGAGATAGAGAAAAAACTGACCTTATTGCTAAACTGAAACACGATGTCTCGCTAATTAAGGAACAGAACTCGCAAAACAGTAATAGGTACATCCCTGAACAGATAGTCCTCTCTAAAAGTAATGTCAATATACCCAACCCTGTTATAAGCCAATGTATCGCCCATGCCAGCTCTACTGGTACTAGTTCCAAATTGTTAGAAGATGATATCCCACATCTAATATATCTGATAACACATCTAGCGACAAAGTGACTACCTCCGGCAATTCAGATATATACCAGGATTTGTCAACCCCCATGTCTCCCATTCCTGCAATAACTATATCATTGGAAGAGAAGGAAGAAAATGAATTTATGAATTTGCAGTATAAGGAACAAGTTAATAAAGAGATAATGGAGAGAATTAGTGAAATGAAACTTCGGGATCAAGAGACGCCCTCGACTCCTGAAAATAATACACCTAATATTCCACGTGAACAAGGTTTAATACAAGAAATATCAACATCTATCAAGCAACAAACACAAAGTATCCCTTCTCCTGAAATAAATCATACGATCAAAATTTCAGCGAACAATGTTCGTCCAAATTGTGACAATTCCGGAATAACACAAGACTCAGAGACCCAAGATATTATCTGTCTATATCAAAATGCGTGCGATGCAGAAAAAAGACGCAATCGAAGCTAATCGAAAAGAAATTTTGTGTTGGTGTTTCTATGCTAAAAGATTCAAAAGCATGGTTAAAGATTTTATGATCAATGATGGAATTGGTGAGAAAAAATCAAAGGGTCGAGTATACGATTTTATTATCAAGCAACTCCCTACTACCAAGCGTGGAAATTTGTGTAAGCAAACGCAAAAGGCTTTAAGGATTGATAATTTATTCAAAAAAATAGGAATAGATAAAATTCAATATATCAAAACTTATAGCGCGGATACTATTTCAAGATTTACTAATTTACAGATTCAAAAGATTATCGACCACTTCACCAAAAATCCTGATATAGAATATGCCGATGATTTATCTGAAACTGAGGTAAGCGCCACATCTACTCACTCTATCCCATTGTCCCATACCTCTAATTCGTTTGATGATATAGGTGAGAATGTCAAATATTCACAGGAGACAGAGACCAAGGTAAGTACTTCATTCGCATCTCTACCTGAAACTAAGCTCCCATCCATGTCTTTAGAAAATTTTTCAAAAGCCGAGATACAGGTAAGTGCACCCGATAGTTCTTTAAATTTTAACTTGGAACCTTATGATCATGAAAATTCTTGTAATGAAGGTGTCGATGATGATGAATTCTCCAACGATAACGACGAAGAGGAAGATGATGATGGGTTCTGTGGATTTTCTGACGATGATGATGAAGGTTATTATTATGATTTAAATACCGGTGAAGCTTATGCAAAATCGGAACATCGTTATTTAATCCGCACATATTAATGTTTATTCGAATCTTACCTTTCTTTATAACTTTTCAGATGTAATGCTAATCCAGGTTGGGCATAATATTTTTTTTCCTTTATTTGCACCATTTTCGGACGCAATGCTAATGAGGATTAAAATCTTTCATTTAAGATCGCTCGGTCCGAGATGTGCAATTCCTTTTCGGTTTTATGATAATTTTGGTTCACTTCTACCTGATCATACCCGTTATCGATATGTCTCTTTCCAGCCCCAAAGCCCTTGCGTATAATATCCTAAAAGAAACGGGAGAAAGCATTGTCCAAAATTTAGAAATTCAAATTCCCGAGCCACCTCAATGCTCAGAATGTAAAAAGGGAATTCTGTTTATTACATATGAATCGTTCACCGTGCTCGCCTGTGGTCACATCTTTCATAGACTCTGTATCGAGAAAATGATTCTGCTTACCCTACCAAGTAAATGTCCCTTTCCTAAGTGTGGAAAAAGTATCGAGCTTATTGATGAACCCAACTCTGTATCTTCTGAAATAAGTGGTATTTCGAATCTGGCTGACGAATTCGCTCGTAATGTTGAATTTAGTTCTCAAAAAACTTCGTCCTAGGATCAACCAATGGATTTAGATGGAAATGAAGGAACAGGACATCGAGTTGAAATTCCACCCATCCTACCAAAAAAGCGTGAAGGTGAATCTATCAATAAATCACCCAGTAAGAAAACAAAGAAACAAGTATCAAAGGAAGATTCTCCCATATTAAAAAAACTTATTGAGGAATTAACATCAACGATACCTGAAAATCCCGAAAAAGTAATAGAAGTCAACGAAAGCACCAAAAATTTTTTGATTCATTATAGCAAAATTATGCAGACTGAATCTAAAAGTGAGATAGCAAGTAGGGAAGTCATTGAAAGTTATTTTAACTTGGTGAAGCTATGAAAAAACGTTTCGACCATTGTAAGAATTTGAAACATGGAGATCAAGCTTGCTTGGCTCTTGTTAATGATGAAATCCGGAAACAACTCCCCGATAATATCACCAATGATGCATTGAAAAAAAGAAAGGAGAGAGCAGGGAAAATACATGATTTATTTATTAGTATTGGTAAAGAGAAAATAAGAGGCATTGGATCATTTTCAGCGTCTAATATTTCAAACTTAAGTCAAGAAAATATTGATTATGTGATAGTTGAAGTTTTAAAAAAGGAACGTAGAATATGATCGTTACTGCGCCACGTTACTGCGCCAGTGACATCGATGTCACGTCTAAATTCTCACTTGTTATGTTTTTTTTTACTTTTTAGTACGAATGTGCTAGCTCACACTATTCAATAAAACAAATTTAATCGTCGAAATTTTTAGTATTATGTGATTGATGCATTTAATTAATAATTATACATATATTATGTCCGAAATCATATGACCCGAAATAGATCTCACATGCCAGAAATAAATTTCATACCGAAATAGGTTTTCATTTACGGATAATAGGAGCAATTATACATAAATATTGCCACAAATAAATTCTTTAGAATCAACTCTAAACTACATATACACCACTTGCAAAATATGATGATTATAACACTCTTGAAGAAATGGTTTGAAAATCCAATCTGCACTAAAATTATTCTAGAGTATAAAGTTATTAAATCAAATATGTCCAAATCCTTAAATTCCATATAAATCATATAATCTCTAAAAACATTATAAATAGGTCATAAAATGGTTAGCACAAGTGAATTACGTGGTACTAAATGCTCAGATGAAGAATGGTGTGAATATTGCTGGATGGGAGTTGTTAGGTCAGATGAAATCCCAAGTGAATGGATGGATCGAATTTGGCCCCGCTTACAATATTTCAGAGAGAATGATCTTTTACCTACTCAAAGCAAAAAATATCTTGAAGCTAGGGAATTGATACCATTTCGCAATAATACTCCATATGATCGTGAAATCGGATTAGCAATTTGTTTCTCTTGTAACCAGTTAATATATAGCGGACAACGGACTCAAAATATAGGTAATTATAATCATATAGGAATGGAGAGACATTGGAAATTTTCATGTATCGGTAATAAATACTGTAGTGTAAGTCACGATTAATACTTGAAAATCAAGCAAAAACCTAAATATAATTTCGATTATAAGTATGCATTACACCGATATGGATTGTGGATGCAGAATACTATCAAAAATGTCGAATGTGCAAGAGCAGTTGGAAAAAAGATTCAAGCTGTAAATATCATATCACAAAAATGGCTTGAATATATGTACAGACCTGATGGTATGACGGCAACACAGTTAGCTAAGCATTATAAATTATTATGGGCAGTTCGAGAAGAAATGCGTCAAGTTAACAGTGTGTAATTACTATCTATTCATTAGATTAATCTATTTATTTGATTTATTAGTAATATAACTTATTAATATATATATCTTTAAAATAAAACCATCTAAGGTATCCCTGAGGGCTGGTACTTTAGACTTTATTTCTGCTATTTCATGATAATTAATAGCTTTTTTTCTATATTAATATCATAAAAAATCCCTAGTTTAGATAATAGATCGTACTTGTTATTTTTACACATCTACTTAAATCTGGAGATGATCAGCTTCTTGATAGAAGTGGCTAATAAGATGTATATTATATTAATGTACCAATAAATAATGAAAAAATAATTATTTGATTGTCAAACCTTGGTTTATTGGTCTAATTTTAATGGGGTATCCCAACCTAGTCTAACCGCTAGAGGATCGTCTACTGGCTTAGTAAAATCGAAAACTATAAATTCTCGTTCACGCAAATGCTTATCAATAATTTTAGATGCCTTTTTTGGATCATCT